ACTGGGTCAATGGAGTCTATACCGAATGAGAGCCCTGGTGTGGTGCTGTAGGTCATCAGTTCAAACCCACCAGCCGCTCTCGGAAATCCTATACAGGGTTGCTATGAGTCGGAACCAACTCAACAGCACGCAATAACATACTAGACAAGAGTGTGGATTGTTAGGATTAGGGGTAGTGCTAGGTTAGGGTTTATATGTTATCCACAATACTTTTTAATAATGACAATTAATATTATCCAAAAACTTTGTAATTCTGGGAAGGATTGTCAGACATTCTGTGATGTAGGAATCATACATCCGCAGGTGCTTTCTATCAAGTACATGAAATCAGAATCATCTGTCTACAGAGAGTCTGGGTCATTGTGGTTGGCATAGGGTTTGGGTTGGTTTAGGGCTAGGATTAATGAGGCTAGCCCACATGGATTAGACCAGGGCAGCCCAGTCTCTGGCTAGCCCAGAGGGAAGATCTTTGTCCTCTGGGACCGAAGAAGGCAACTCCAGACCAGGCTATACAAGATGAAAAACTGGACCAGAGGAAGGCAAGCCAGGTGAGTCCAGGTTAGCCCAGATTACATGAAGCTAACCCAAGTGAATTAGACCAGAGGCAGGTTGGCCAGACTGGTCCAAGTTAGACCAGACTAGGAGGCTAGTCCAGATCCAAGGATAAAACAGATGAGAGCAGGCAGGACAACACTAGCCCAGGCTGTATTGGCATAAGGTTAGCCCAGATGAGAGACTAGATCGGAGCAAGTGAAGTCAGCTTGGTCCAGGGTAGCCCAGATAGTATGACCGAACCTAGATGGAGCAGTTAGGTTAAACTGGAGCCCAGCCCAGATTTGGCTGTGCTATCCTCGCAGCTGGACAGTGAATAAGGAAGATCGTAGAAGAATTGATGCCTTTGAGTTATGGTGTTGGAGGAGAATACTGAAAGTGCCATGGACTGCCAAAAGAACCAATAGATCTGTTTTGGAAGAAGTGCAGCCAGAGTGCTCCTTGGAGGCCAGGATGGCTAAGCTTCGTCTCTCCTACTTTGGACATATTGTCCGGAGGAAACAGTCGCTGGAGAAGGATGTCATGCTGGGTAAGGTGGAGGGTCAGAGAAAAAGAGGAAGACCCCCAACGAGATGGATCAGCCAGGTGGCATCATTGATGGACTCAAGTGTGGCAGCGGTAGTGAGGTTGGCCCAGGATCGGACATTGTTTCGTTCTGCTGTGCATGGGGTCACTATGAGTCGGTTCCAACTCGATGGCACCTCACACACACACACCCTCGCATGTGCAAAGCTAACCTGGGAGAATGGTTGTTCAAGGATCTGCTGGGTGAGGACTGTCAACGCAACATGACCCCTCTCTGGTCAGCAAGAGCTGACAGACCCTTCTCTGGTCTGCAGAGCTGACAGACCAGGAGCCTGGCAGAAGTCCCAGTGATATGTGTGTCTTCCTGTCACTTTCTACCCCACAGATCTTAACCCATGAAAGGAACTCCAAGGTTCAACATGGGACGATGTTTCCCAAAGACCCAGGCCCCCTCCCCCACCAGATGGAGCACTTCTTACAAATGGGAGGGACCTTGGACTGTATGAACTCATGTTGATCCATGTCATTTTTAATCTGTTATCAGCTGCCCCATTTTACAGAGAGGTAACCTGAGGCTCGGATTGATGCAAGGTCATACAGTCCAGAGTGAGAGACATGCTTCTCAAAACCTCAAACACGGCTGGCTGATTGAGGTCTATGTTGTATGTTTGGGTATTTGAAGGTAAAGGGAAACCCCACACCCATGCCATTTTAGAGGGTTCATGAGGACTTCTGTAGCTTCAGAGAGAGCACTCAGTTGGGAGTCTCCATAGTAATAATAACAGCTGTGTCAGGTGCTGTGCTGAGTCCGTCTCCATTCTGATCATGGCCTAACTGGTATTCCTATTTTACAGACAAGAAAGCAGAGGCCCAGAGGCACCGTCCTGGCCCTGGAGACACTCACCCATGCAGTGGTCACTTTGCACCTGGAAGCCAGGGGGGCAGATGCAGCGGAAGGAGCCCTCGAGGTTCTGGCAAATTCCTGGCAGGCATGTTCCTGCCAGGCTGTGACACTCGTTGATGTCTGTGGGGGAGAAGGAGAGGGTCTCAGCGCCAGCTAGAGGGCAGGGGGCTCTCAGACTGGGACCAGTAGCTGTGGGCACTGGGTAATGGTGCCCTCCTTAGTGGCAGGTTTGGTTCCAGGGGAAGGATTGAGACTCAGGTAAGCAGGGGTGGTTACAGAAGGGATATCCGCACCCTCTTGTTATTGAGTGCCATGGAATCGGTTCTGACTCAGAGACCCCTGCATAGGGTTTCTGAGGAGCAGCCGCTGTCTCAAACCTTGTGGTTAGCAGTCCAGTGCTTATCCCACATCACCACAGTGCCACACCAAGACTCCATCTAGACCCTAAGGGAGTTACATGTGACGCCAAGTGGTGTCCACAAGAAATCAGAAGCAATAATCTTAGTCTCCAGCCATTTACAGAGCCTCTCCCAGTTTCCCTAGTAACCATTAGCATCTCAACTTTTCCTTACTCCAGAAAATATAAGACTTTCAAGACAGCCTGACCCTAAACCACAAAACCCATGCAAACATGGGTATGATGTGCTGAATTTCTGCTTTCCTCTTACACCTTCAAATAAATGCTTGGTTCTTAAACGGAACCACATGGCCTCGGAAGCATCAGCCACAGGTCAACCTGGAGCAGGGGTGGGTGAGATGGCTCCCAGCACCAGGCAGAGACTCACCCATACAGTTCTTCCCATCTGCCATGAGCTCAAAGCCACTCTGGCAGAAGCAGTGGAAAGAACCAGCTGTGTTGATGCACTGGCCAAATTGGCATACTTGCCCCGCCAGGGTGGTGCATTCATTCACATCTGTATAAGGGAAAATAAAAAGGGCAGCTCATGTACCAGGTTCTGATAAAATAGCTTTCCAACTATCTTAGTATCGGTATTTTCAATATAAACATTTGATGCTATGAACTTGTTTCTAGATACTCCCTTAGCTGCACCCCACATTTTTTCTATAGATTGTATTTTCATTTTCATTTGATGAAAATATTTTCTGATTTTCATTGGGATTTCCTCTTTGCCTTATGGGTTATTTGGAAGCATACTGCTTAATTTCCAGGGTCCCTAAGTGGTGCAAACAGTTAATGTGCTCAACTGCTAACGAAAGGTTGGAAGGATAAATCCAACAGAGGTACTTCAGAAGAAAGGTCTGGCTATCTATTTCCCCAAAGATCAGCCGCTGAAACCTTATGGAGCATTGCTCTGCTCTGACACACATGGGGGTCACTATGTGTTGGAGCTGGCTTGATGGCAATTGGTTTATTTCCAAATAGTTAGGGGATATTTCTGAATATCTTCCTGTGATTGGCTTCAATTCTTTTAAGTTTGTTTCCTGGCCTGGGATATACTCTTTATCGAAGAAGTACATGTGTATATGACAAGAATATATACTCTGCTGTTGTTGGCTGGAATGTTCTACACATTCTAGGTGGCTAACAGTGTTGCCTTAGATCTTTGTTGGAAGAAATGCAGCTAGAGTGCTCCTTGGAAGCCAGAATGGCCAAACTTCGTCTCTCATACTTTGGACATATTGTCAGGAGGGACTAGTCACTGGAGAAGGATATCATGTTTGGTAAGGTGGAGGGTCAGAGAAAAAGAGGAAGACCCCCAGCTAGAGGGACTGGCAAAGTGGCAGCATCAGTGGGCTCAAGAGTGGCAATACTTGTGAGGTTAACCCAGAACCAGGCAGTGTTTTGTTCTTCTGTGCATAAGGTCGCTATAAGTCGGTAACGACTTGATGGCACCTAACAAAAACAACAACATATCCCTATTTATGATCTTTTTACTTTTTCTATTATTGATCAGACTACTGAAGACTCCCAACTATAACTGCAGTTCTTCCCATTTCTCTCACCATTTCTGTGAGCTTTTGCTTCCTATATTTTGAAGCTATGTTGTTAGATGCATATACATTGATGATTGTTGTCTTCTTGGAGAATTGCCCCTTAATCACCATAAGACATCTGTCTTCTTTATTCCTGCTAATAGTTCTCATTCAGAAAGACTACTTTTTCTGCTATTAATATACGGTTGTTGCTAGTTGCTGTCAAGCCAGCCCCTGACTCAAGGAGATCCCCATGTACAATGGAACAGAACACTGCCCTGTCCAGCAACATCCTCATGATAGGCTTCAGACTGGACTACTGTGATACCCAAGGTTGTTTGTTTGTTTTGGTGTATTTTTGGAAGTGGACCACCAGGTTTTCTCCCTATTCCAATTTAGTCTGGAAGCCCCACAGAAACCTGTTTAGCATCATAGCAACACGCAGTCTCCACAGGCAGATGGGGGTGGCTGTACAGGGGGAGCACTGGCCAGGCATCCCTCCTGGGTCTGCTGCATGAAAGGCAACAATTCCACCACTGAACCATCATTGTTCTTAATATTTGTTGTTGTTAGGTGCCATCGAGTTGGTTCTGACCCATAGAGACCCCATGTACACCAGAACAAACACTGCCCGGCCCTGCATCATCCTCATAATTGTTATGTTTGAGCCTACTGCTGCTGCCACTGTGCCAATCCATCTTCTTAGGGGTCTCTCTCTCTTTGTTGGTGTCCCTCCACTTTGCCAAGCACGATGTCCTTCTCCAGGAACTGGTCCCTCCTGATAACAAATCTGAAGTATGACAGATGAAGTTTGGCCATCTTAGACTCCAAGGAGCACTCTGACTGCACTTCTTCCAACACAGATCTATTGGTTCTTTTGGCAGCCCATGGCACTTTCAATATTCTCCTCCAACACCACAACTCAAAGGCATCAATTCTTCTATGGTCTTCCTTATCCAGCGGCCAGCTTTCACATGCTTATGAGGCTATTGAAAACACCATGGTTTAAGTCAGGCACACCTTAGTCTTCAAACTGACATCTTTTCCCTTGAACGCTTTAAAGAAGTCTTGCTCAGAAGTTTTGCCTATTGCAATACATCGCTTTGTTTTTTACTACTGCTTCCAGGAGTGTTGAAGTCTTTTGACAATTTCAGTCTTCTTCCCATTTATCGTGATGTTATTTATTGGTTCAATGGTCAGGATTTTTGTTTTCGTTTCATTGAGGTGCAACCCATACTGAAGGCGGTGGTCTTTGATCTTCATCAGTAAATATTTTAAGTCCTCTTCATTTTCAGCAAGTAAGATTTTACTATATGCATGTTGCAGGTTGTTAATGAGGCTTCCTTCAATTCTGATGCCACATTCTTCTTCATATAATCCAGCTTCTTGGATTTTTGTTCAGCATAAAGATAGAATAAGTATGGTGAAGGAATACAACTGCGGCACATGGCACACACCTTTTGAAAACCATTCAGTGTTCCCTTCTCAATGCAGGTTATCAATGTATGTTCTCAATATTGTGGTTACTTCAATATGGTGTTGTTAAATGCCATTGAGTTGATTCTGACCCATAGCAATCCTGTACAGGGCTTCTGGGGAGCGGCTGATGAGCTTGAACCACCAACTTTGTTGTTCAAACCAACTTTGCAGTCCAGCACATTAACCCACAGTGACACACCAGGACAAGACTCTAGGATAACCAAAACCCATGGCCATTGAGTCGATTCCATCTCAAAATGATCCTATAGGATAGAGTATGACTACCCAAAGGGTTTCTAAGGCACACCTTAGTCCTCAAACTGACATCTTTTCCCTTGAACACTTTAAAGAAATCTTGCTCAGCAAATTTGCCTATTACATCTTTTTGTTTTTGACTGTTGCTTCTATGAGTGTTGAAATCTTTGACAACTTCAGTCTTCTTTCCATTATCATGATGGAAGCAGACCGCTACATTTTTCTCCAGCAGGGGGACTAGTGGGCTTGAACCTATAACAGCTGGGTTAGCAATTAAGTGCTTTAATCATGGCACCACCAGGCCTCTTCAATATAGGAGAGATGGTACTATTAACCCTCTATTTACAGATACAGACAACAAGGCACTGAGAGGTTCAGTGTGTCTTGGGCCACACAGTTGGTGGGTGGGTGGCAAAACGGATTTGAACCCCTGATGCCTGACTTGGAGTCTGAACTTTTGAGCACCATACTGAATTGTGGTGTCAGCTCTTATTTCACTTTCTCACGTCCCTCTCTGCACTTTCATTGGCCCCCAACAGCCTCAATGTAATCCCTGGAGACCACCCTCCCACATGCTCTTGCTGACCCCTGGAGGACTCTGTGGCAGATTCAGTTTTCAGAGAGAAGCCCATCTCCTGTGGCTATTTCTCTGAAGGGAAGCTTCTATAGCTGAGAGGGTCCTCAGGGCAAGGACCCACTTCCCTGTGAGGACCACTGAAGCCAGCCTGCCAGCTCACCCAAGCAATCCCCGTGGTGTGTTGCAGTGAATCCAGAGAAGCAGAGGCAGATGTAGGAGCCGACGCTGTTCTTACAGGTCCCGTTTCCACACGGTTGCTGATCACACTCGTCGACGTCTACCCAAGCAGAGTCCCTGAGCCCCGCTGAGACCACTAACCAAGAGCATGGGGGATAGGGCCCACCTCCCTGCACCTACCCTGTCCACATGGATGGGAAGTGACCACTGGGGGGTGACGTCTGGGAATTACCTCTGGAAGTGTATCACCCCCATTTTACAGATGGGGAAAGTAAGGCACAGGGAGGCGAACTAGTTGTTTGTACCCAAGGTCTTATTGCTAGATTCAGACCAGGTCTGTCTGTCCACTGGGATGGTGCCTACCCCCAGGGATTGGCCTGAGAGAAGGGAGCCAGGGGCAGGGCACTTACCCACACACATGGTCTGGTCCGCTGAGGCCCGGAAGCCGCGGTGACACAGGCACACATAACTGCCCTCTGTGTCCACACAGCGGCCATGGCTGCAAACATTTGGGATCTCCTGACACTCGTTTCGTCCTGGGGGGCAGGCAGTGTGGTGTCACTAGGCCCCCATCTCTTAGTGTTGTCCTCCCATGCCTTTGTTTGGGGAGTGAGAGTCTGCCTGGACACCCCGTTAAAGTCGCTACCGGGGAGCCCAGTTGGCACAATGCTGCAAGCTGTGGAAACGCCTGGGTACTGAGAACCTATAACAAGACACCTGAGGACAATGCGCGTGGTCTGACCAGGCCAGGAGGGTCCACCTATAGCTACTGTTAAGCCTCAGGAGGCTGATGTCATTGATTGTGACCATGTAGAGAGTAGGGAGAGAGAGTGAGGGTCAGTGTGGACCCTGGGGGCATGGGGCCCCCTTCCTGAGCTGTTCTGCCTTTTCCCCAGAGTTTGTGAGGCACTGCAACCAATGATCACACTTAAAAGAAGGGACAAGTGCCTGATGACCTGACCTCGGGTGAGTGGAGACGGGGGTGGGGGCGGGGGGCACCCAAGGACCTGATTCCAAGTGTGTGGGCTGTGTTGGGGTCTATACTGACCAGTGGCGGGAAGCTGGGGCTACACAGGACGCAGGGATGTGTCATGCACATACACATCTCAGCCTCCCTGGACTCTGCTAGGCCTCCCTCCCAGCTGCCCCAAAGCAGGGTCTCCAGCAACACTTCAGAGCAGGCAATGAGCTGGGTGGAGCGGAGTCTCCCCAAGTTGCCACAGGAAGCAAAGTAGACTCTGTTGTCTCCTGTCCCCTCACACCCGCCTACCTGCAACCTACCTGGCTTCACTCACCCACACAGGCTCCACCAGGGGAGAGTTTGTACCCTCGGGAGCACTCGCAGTGGTAGCTGCCTGGGATGTTGAAGCAGTCGGCATATTGCTGGCAGGGTCTCTCCCGGTCTGCACACTCATCTATGTCTGCAGAACATGACCAATGGGGAGAAGAGGGTGGCGAAGCCTTGTGGTCACACCAAACCAGTCCCTGCCCCCCATGATTTCAAAGCAGAAGGTCTTTCCAGAAACAGCCAGAACTGCATGAGGGTCATTATATGGATGGAGGGTCTTGGAAGAAAGGAACTATCCCCATTGTACAGATGGGGAAATGGAGACTCTCACAGAAGGTGACTGGCTCAGAGAGCACAGAGGAGGACCAGAATCCTATCCCGAGCCCAGTGGGGGTTGGGACAGATGCTTGGGGCAGGGATGACACAGGAGTGGGGTGGGTGTGGGTGTGGGGAGGGCCGGCACCTTCACAAACCAGTAGAAGACTGTTGTAGTTGAAACCCATGTGACACTCGCAGTGGAAACTCCCAATCTGGTTGATGCAGATGCCGTGGGTACAGATGGTGGGGATCTCCCCACATTCATCAATGTCTGCAGAGGGTATTGTCTGTCAGGGACATTGTGGGGATCTAGAGCTAAGTAAGGTTCCCGTGAGGAGAGAAGCTAGGGTTTTTCCCACCAGCATAGGCTGAAAACATTGGCTGTGATCAAAACAAAGCTGCTTCCACCAGACAGAAGGAGATGGGAGAGGAGAGACGGTTGGGAGACGTGTCTGTCTTTACTATTGTTGTTAGGTGCTATTGAGGTAACTCTGATTCATAGAGCCCCTAAGTCCAACAGAACTTAACACTCACTGCCTGGTCCTACACCACCCTCAGTCCCCTGAGTCTGAGTCCACTGTGGCATCCAATGTATCAATCCATTTCTTCCTCTTAAGCGTCATGTCCTTCTCCAGGGACCGGGCCCTCCTGATAACATGTCCAAAGTTAGTCCCACCAGCCTTACTTCTAAGGAACATTCTGATTGTACCTCTTGCAAGACTGAGTTCCTTATTCTGGTTGTTGTTGTTGTTGTTATGTGTGTGGAGCCGGTTCCGACTCATAGCGACCCTGTACAGGGTTTCTGAGGCTGTTAGTCTTTATAGGAGCAGAAAGCCCCATCTTTCTCCCGTGGAACAGCTGGTAGTTTCGAACTGCTGACCTTGAGGTTCACAGTCCGATTCATAACCACTATGCTACCAGAGCTCCTTTCACAGTATATTCTGTACCGATCCTATAATTCAAAGGCATCAATTCTTCAGTCTTCCTTATTCACTGTTCAACCTTCACATACTTAGGAGGTGACTGAGAAGACCATGGCTTGGGTCAGGCACACCTTAGTCCTCAAAGTGACATCTTTGCTTTTCTTAACACGTTCGAGAGGTCTTTTGGAGCAGATCTGTCCAATATGGGGTTTGATTTCTTGATTCCTGCTTCCACGGGCATTGACTATGGAGCCAAAGTAACATGAAATCCTGGGCAACTTCAATTTTTCCTCTGTTAATCATGCTGTTGTTATTGGTTTAGTTGTGAGGATTTTTGTCTTATATTAAGGTATAATTTTTACTGAGGGCTGTAATCTTGAATCTACCTCAGTAAATGCTTTAATTCCTCTGCTTTCAGCAAGCAAGGTTAGGTCACCTGCATATCTCACGTTGTTAATAAGCCTTCCGCCAACCTTGATTTTGCGTTCTTTTAATAGTCCAGCTTCTCGGATTAGGCCTACTCAGCATATAGACTGAATAAGTATGGTGAAGAAATACAACCCTGATGTACATATTTTCTGGACTAAAAGGCCAGTTTGAATTGCAAGGTCGGCGGTTCAAGGTCACCAGCCGCTCCTTGGAAACCTTATACAGGGTTGTTACGAGTTGGTTCCAACTCGATGGCACTTAACAACAGCAACAACTTATTCCCTTGCTGTGTTACAGTGACAGCCTCTTGGTCTATGTACAGGCTCCTTGTGAGCACAATTAAGTGTTCTGGAATACCCATTCTTTACAATGCTATTAAATTTGTTATGATCCACACATAATACGTTATGCATAGTCAATAAAAGTATAAACATCTCTCTGGTATTCTCTGCATTCAGTTAAGATCCATCTGACATCAGCTATGATATCCCAAGTTCCACGTCCTCCATGTATCCAGCTTGAATTTCTGGCATCTCTCTGTGAATGTACTGCTTCAAGCATTTAAAAAAATTAAAAATTTATTTCAACAAAATTTTACTTGTATTTGACATTAGTTAAATTGTTCAATAGCTTCTGCATTTCTGTTGGGTCCCGTCTCTTTGAAATGGGCAGAAATACAGATCTCTTCTAATCAGTTGGCCAGGTAGCTATCTTGCAAATTTCTCGATACAGATGAATGAGTCTTCCCAGTGCTGCCTCTGTTTGTTGAAAGATGTAAATTTCTGTTGCATCAATTTCTGGAGTCTTGTTCTTTGTCAGAGCCTTCAGTGCACCTTGGATGTCTTCCGTCAGTTTCATTGGCTCTTTATCATGTGCTACCTCCTGAAATGATTGAATGTTGACCAATTCTTTTTGGTACAGTGACTCTGTGCATTCCTCCCATCTTCTTTTGATGTTTCCTGTGTTGTTCCCCTGAACATGTGGACTATTATTGCTATTGTTAAGTGTCGCTGAGTCGATTCCGACTCATAGCGACCCTGTATAGGAACGGCTGCCAAACATTGCAGTTCAAACCAACCTTTGAGTCCTGCACCTTAACCCACAGTGCCACATCAGGACTCCATTTTGACCACAGAATCCTTCAATATTGGAATTTGAGGCTTGGATGTCTTCTTCAGTTCTTTCAGCTTGAAAACACTGAGTGTGCTCTTCTCTTTTGGTTTTCTAACTCCAGGTGTCTTTGTGTGTTTCAATATCATACTTTGTCTTCTCGAGTTGCCCTTTGAAATGTTCTGTTTAGCAATTTTGCTTCATCATTTCTTCCATTCACTTTCACTCTCTATGTTCAGGAGCAAGTCTCAGACTCAGAGTCTCTTCTGACATCCACGATGAACTTTTCTCTTTTTTTTTTTTTCCAGCTTTTTAAAAAAATGACACTTTGCTTTCTTCATGTATGATGTTATTCCGCAACTCACCTGGTCTGAAGTCATCAGTGTTCAATGCATCAAATTCATCCTTGACATGGTCTCTAAACTCAGGTGGGATATACTCAAGGTCATATTTTGTTTTTTGTTGATTGGTTTTAATTTTCTTCAGCTTCAACTTGAACTTGCATATGAACAACTGATTGTGTGTCTCATAGTCAGTCCCTGACCTGGTTCATACTTTTGATACTGAGCTTCTCTATCATTGTCTTTTCCACAGATGTAGTCAGCTGGGTTAGTGTGAATTCTATCAGAAAGGTTAGGAACCCTACAGGGTAGAGTAGATCTGCTGCTTGGGGTTTCCAAGACTGTCAAGTCTTGTATGGGAACAGACAGCCTCATCTTTCTTTCATGTCCCCATGTAAAGTTGTCTTTGTGCCGTTGAAAAACAGGTATTTCCAATGAATAAGCCACTAATCTTGCAAAATTCTACCATGGGATCCTTGAGACCTTATTTTCCAACTGTTGATCATTCTTCTTTGTGGCCAACTTTTGCAATCTAATCATTAGTAATTATCACTGCATCTTGATTGCTTGTTTGATCAATTTCAGACTGCAGAAGTTGATAAGAATCTTCAATCACATCATCTTGGCAATCATGATTTGTGTGTTCACTTGAACAACAGTCTGACTAAATGGTCTTCCTTGTAGGCATATGGATATTATCTTATCATGGACAGTGTTAGACTTCAGGATAGATCTTGAAATGTACTCTTGACAATGAATGTAACACCAGTCTTCTTGACTTTGTATTCACTAGAAATACACATTATCTATGACCTAGGAATCTTGTCAACCACTTGGCTATTAGTTGATCCAAGTCATGGCATTTTTAATAGCCTCATATGCATGTGAAAGCTGGACACTGAATAAATAAAACAGAAGAATTGATGCATTTGGATTATGGTGTTGGTGAGGAATATTAATATACCATGGACTTCGGGAAGAACTAACAAATCTATCTTGGAAGAAGTACAGCCAGAATGCTCCTTAGAGGTGAAGATGGTGAGGCTTTGTCTTATGTATTCTGGACATCATCTCAGGAGAGACCAGTCCCTGGAAAAGGATATCATGCTTGTTGGGTAAAGTAAAGCGTCAGCAAAAAAGTGGAAGTCCTTCAAGACGATGGATTGGCATAGTGGCGGCAGCAATGGGCTCAAACATAACACCAGTTGTGAGGATGCCACTGGACCGGGCAGAGTTTTTTTCTGTTGTACACGGGGTTGCTATGAGTTGGAACTGACTCAATGGCACCTAATAACAATGGCACCCCCAACACACACGCATACACTGTGTGGAGTGTCCTAGAAAGAAGCAACTTTCTGTATGTGTGTGTGTGTGTGTGTGTGTGTGTGTGAGCCTGTGTCCACTCATGCAAGAGAGATGTGGGCTGTCCTAGGACAATGCTTAGTGAGAAATGGAAACACCAGTGGGATCTATCCATACAATGCGATATTATTCAGTCATGAGGGATAAAACCCTAATACCTGCTACAATGTGGATGGAAATGTTATGCTGAGTGAAAGAAACCAATCACATAATCCCACTGATTGCATGATTCCATTTACAGACACTGTCCAGAATAAGCAAATCCAGAGAAGCAGAAAATGGATGAAGGGATGCCTAGAGCACAGGGGTGGGTGTGGAGGGGGGTGGGGATAATGGGCCGTGACTGCTAATGATTATGGGTTTCCTTTTGAGGTTAGGGAAATGTTCTTGAATTAGATGGAGGAAATGATTTCACAACTGTATGGATATATAAAGTCACTGAATTGTAGTCTTTAAATGGGTGACAGGCCGGGTATATGAAATTGTCATGGATTAAACTGTGTTCCCTAAAGTATGTATTGAAATCCTAACTTCTATACCTGTAAAGGAGTCCTGGTGTGGCACTGTGGGTTAATGCACCAGACTGCAAAGCCATTTGAACTGCAAGGTCGGCGGTTCAAGCTCACCAGCTGCTCCTCAGAAACCCTATACGGGGTTGCTATGGGTTGGAACTGACTCGACAGCACTTAACAACAACAACAAACACCTGTAAAGGGCAGTGGGGTGACTTTTTATGATAAGCACTGGACTGCTAACTGCAAAGTCAGCAGCTGGAGTCCAGTAGTCACTCTGCAGGAGAAACACGAGGCTTTCTGCTCCTGTAAAGGTTTACAGCCTTGAAAATCCCAGGCAGGGTTGCTATAGTTGGAACCGACTCCACGGTGTTTAACCACACCATACCTGTGAATATGATCCTGTCTGGAAATACGGGCTTTTCTTGGTTATGTTAAGGAGGTCACAGCAGCGAGGGTGGGTCCTAAACCTAATCCCTCCTGAGTTACAAAGAGATTAGACACAGACACACACAGAGGAGGGAGAGGACAGATGGAAAAGGGTGCTTCTACAAGCTCAGAGACGCCAAGGGTCACTGTAGCTAGAAACTGAAATAGACAAGGAAAGACATCCCCTTCGAGGCATGCTCTATATTTGGACTTCCAGCCTCCAGAACCAAGAAAATCACTTCCTGTTCTGTAATGTCACTCACTTGTATTACAGTAGAAATGATCTCAATAAAGATTTATTCAAAAGAAAAAAGACCCTGAAAATCAGTGTGTCCCTGGGGCAGGGAAAACTGGCTCATGGCCTGGGCTAACCCTGCCTGTGAAGTCACAGGATGCAGAGCAAAATCAGGAGGCAGGCTGCATTTATGAGGGTCTCCATAACGTTCATGGAAAATGGAATGAAAAGCTAATGAATTTTCCCAGAGACTTTTTGAAGCCCGCCCCAGGCCTCCATATTAACAGGGCTGGCTCTTTAAGATACATTGTGTGCCCTTGAGTCAATTTCAATTCATAGCTGACTCCATGTAACAAAGTAGAACTACCTCATAGGATGTTGTAAGCTACCATCAATATAGGAGCAGAATTTCACGGTTTTGTTGCCACAGAGCTGTTTGGTGGGTTTGAACCACCAAACCTGTTAGCAGCTGAGCATTTAACAGTTATACTTTTGGGGTTTTTAATTCTGACTTATAGTGTTCCCCATAGAACAGAACAGAGATCCCTCGGGTTTCTGAGGCTATAAATTTTTACGGAAGCAGACTGCCTCAATCTTTCTCTCACAGAACAGCTGGTGGGTTCCAACCACTAACCTCCCAGTTAGCAACCCAGAGTTTAACTCACTGCCAGTTACAGACCCATGTTCAGGACTATTGTTGTCAATTCAATTCCAACTCATAGTGACCCTGTGTAGAGTTTCCAGGGTTTGAACAGCTGTTAGCACTCCAATGTTTATCCTGCAGTACCATACCAGGACTCCATATATAGTATTTGTTGTTGTTAAGTGCCGTTAAGTCGATTCTGATCCATAGCGACCCTATATAGGGTTTCCAAGGAGCAGCTGGTGAAATTGAACCATTGACCTTGCAGTTCAAAGGACTTTGCAGTCTGACGCATTAGCCCACAGCACCACACCAGGACTCCCCATATATAGTATAGCATATAGTTTATGTAAAAATTCTCAGAAAACAATACCATACTCTTTCAATGTTTAAACGTATGAGGAGAGAATTAGGAAGACATTCTCTGAGTACAAAGCAAGGGTAATTCTATGGAAGTGAGTCTTATCTGCTATGTTCCATCAAAAAAAGATACACATCCATATGACTAAAACTACTACAAATGGGGTCATTGATTAAACACCAAACACCTGAAATGAGGCATTCAGGTACTGCCCAAATCCTCATTGAACAGAAAATTCGTTTCTATGGCAGGATTCCTGGCCTAGATTGGGTTGTGTTTGGAAGAAAAGAACAGTGGGCATGGGCAGGGATCAAGGAGAGAACAGAGCAGGTGGGGCTTAGGTAGAGGGGAGCTCAGAGCTGGAAGCTGGACAGCAGCAAAGGGAATTGGAACAAAGTGTGTAAGTAGGAGTGTGTCACTTACCGACAGGCTTCCCTGTGTAGATGTCAATGATAAAGCCGGGGGCCTGGTTCCCACACAGGATCTGATAATCCACTAGACAAAGGAAAGCAGAATGAAGTGGTTATAGGTGGGATGGATGAGAGGATGCATGGATAATGGATGGATGCATAGACGTGTAGGTAGGTGGCTGAATGAATGGATAAGTGGATGGGTGGAGAGCTGAATACATGAATGGATGGAGGATGAATAGATACATGGATGGGTGGGTGGGTAAGCAACTGGGTGGACTGATGGATTAAGGATGAGTGGATGAGCAGATGGAGAGATGAATGGATGGATGGATGGGTACATGGAATGGATGCATACATAGATGAGTGGGTGGGTGTGTGAATGGGTGGATGGATGAACGATGAATGGATGAGTGGGTGGATAGATGAGTTGATGGATGAGTGGATGGATGGTAGATGGATGCATGGGTGGATGGATGATGGAAAGATGAGTGGAAGGACAGAGACTGGGTGGATGAGTGGATAGATGGATGTATCATAGGTTGGTGATACATAGATGAACATATGGATAGATGGATGACTGGTTGGTGGTGCATGGATGATAGACAGGTGCCTGGGTCGGTGAAAGGATGGATTGATAAGAGGACAGGTACATAGATGGAAGGATGAGAGAATATAGAGATGGGTGGGTTTATGGATAGATGGGCAGATGGAGAGGTAAGTGGGTAGGTAGATGAATGGAATGCAGGCCAGACGCCACTAAGTGGGATTCCCCTCTGCCCCTCACTCCCCACCCCCACGTTTCTGCAAACACCTCCATCTCTGAAGTCCAGCCCTCGCTCAGCCTCCTCTAAGTCTCCTTGTCCCTTCCCTGTTCTTATTCTGACCAGCCCTGGAAAGGTTGAAAGATGGGGTTTGTGCAGTGTGGTCTTCTAACCCACAGACTGACCTCCCCTCCTCTTCCTTGTGTAAGCACCATCAACCACTCCCACTAATATCTTCCATTTAGACCTCCAAACCTTCAGCCTTTGCCTCTGTCTGTCTTCCAACCATGATTCTCCACTCCACCTAAGGGAATTCATTTACCCCTCTGCACATGGCATTCAGTGCCCTTGTAACTGGACTTCAACCTTGAGGGCTCAGGGCAGCTGACCCTGAAGACCCCCTGGCCCTGAACCGTGACTCCAGGCACAGGATAGCACATTGGGCTCTCCCAATATATCCTGCTGAGACCACTGAGGTGTGGTCTGCCAGCCCTTGCTCTCCAGGAGGGACAGATATTCCTAGCACAGTTGTTGGGACCGTGCCTCCTTGCCACCTGTCCCCAGGTCCTGCCGGGCTCTCCCTTGCTGGTTCTCTGCCTGTGTTGTGAGACGAATGAACCATGATCACAGGCAGCCCCTGGTGGTCTTGGCTTGTTCTGTTCCACCTACCACCCCACTTCAGTTGCACAAGTTCAAGAGCAGACACCGAAGTCCCAGTAGGCAATTGGAGTCACATATGTGCTCTGTCTACACAATTCCTAGGTCAGTACTAGTTGTGAGCATGTTCCCCTCAGCCTGTACAACCAGTGTGGGGGGAAACTGAGTCTTCCTTATTCATGTTTCCTAGAACCAGCACAAGGTCTGGCACCCAGAGAAACCCAACAATCACCCCTCTCATTGGACTGTGGCTTGCTAGCTGCCTCTTCTCCTCACTGCCCACTCTTACAGCTCTCAGATGACTTTGGCTGCTCGCTAAATCACGCTGTTAGGGATCGTTCCAGCTGTGAACCTGTTCTGCTCAGCCCTACCTCTGGGTCTTTCCTCATACTGTCCCTCACTTGGACCAACATCCTCATTAAGACTGCAATCCTCCTCAGAGCTTCCCTGGCTCTGCCTGTCCCCAGCCTCAGGGACCCTGCTTCCTGTAACCAAGAGTGCTTTCTTCCCTGCCCAGGGAATGACAGATGCTCCTGTATTGTCTGTGGAAGATGTCTCGCATCTCCCTGCCCCCCATTGCAAAAAAACAAAACAAAACAAAAAAAACCCATCTCTTCACACTGCAATGTAACTTCAGTTCTTCAGTTGGACAACGTGGGCTGCTCCGGGAGCCCAAAGTGGGCAGTGCCACTGTACCACCCCAAAACCTAACTAGATGCTGTTTCAAGTTGATCCCACCTCATGGCCACCCCATATTAAATACAGTAGAGCTGTGCTCTATAGGGTTTCCGAGGCTGTGTGACCTTTTGGAAGCAAATTGCCAGTCCTTTCTTCCAAGGTGCCTCTGGGTAGATTTGAACCTCCAGTGCCCAACCAATTGCACCACCCAGGGATTCCTATACCTCATAAGCATGGCAGGGAAGAAGGGCCGAGCTGAAAAGAAGTCACTTACAGCTGCCAGGTGTGGGGCAGGCTTCGCAGGGTCTGTTCCAGGCCTGGCCAATGTTGTAGGAACAACAGCACATTTTGAGGGTCACATTGAAAGACAGCTCATTCTGACAAGTGCCGTTATAGCGCCGGAAACAGAGGCTTTTCCGCATGTCTGTGGATGGGGGCGGGGTGGGGGTAGGGGCGGTGGCCATGAAGCCAGTTAGAAATTACCAGCTTGATGGCTCTCCCTCGCCAGACTTGGAGGCATCATTCACATTGTCATCTGTTGGGCAGCGCACAACCTGGGCAACCATTCAGGACAGCCTTGCCTATCATCTGTGTCATTCACTGCTGTGTCTCAGTGCCTCAAGCCCTCCCTCTGCCTCCTCCTCTCCCCCTCCGCTGCACCCACTGCCAAAGCTCTAGCACTCCCTCCCGTGCCCACATGCTTCTCCCATGTGCATCACACTGCCCACCCATGCAACTGTTGCCACCATTGACTTGCAGGTACTCCACGGGGCAGACACAGGTGTAGGTGCCCAGGGTGTTGTAGCAGGTGCCAGGGCCACAGACGCCTGCGTGTGCAATGCATTCGTCGATATCTGCAGGAGCAGGAAGGGGGCGTCTGGGAATTGTCTGAATAAATCCCCATCCTGACTCCAGGTCTTAATGTGATGCTATAGGATAAACACTGGCCTGCTACCCTAAAGGTCAATGGATCAAACCCATGAGCAACACAGCACTTAACAACTCCAGGCCCAGTGGAACCACATCACCATGGGCTGGAGTTTGGTTTCAAGATCAAGTGTGAAGGGCACCGACATTCCACACCTAGGTGTTTATCCAGAAGCAGTTAAGCAGGGACACAGCACAATTCGCCAGAGCCCAGATGAGGAAACAAGCCACGTGTCCAACAACAGAAGACTGGACAAACACAATGTGGTCCGTTCACGAACAGACATAAAGTCCTCATCCATGCTACTGCATGGGACGACCCTGAAAACATGGCAATGAGGGACAGAAGTTAAACACAGAAGGACAAACACTGTGTGATCTCACTGACATAAGCTCTCGAATAGGCAAATGCATGGAGAAAACTGTAACTAGGTAAAGGCGATCATTGTACACCATATGAACAGGTTCAACAACACTAATTTGTGCTGTTGTTGTTGTTAGGTGCCATCGAGTCGGTGCTGACTCATAGTGACCTTACACACAGCAGAATGAAACAATGCCCAATCCTGGGCCAACCTCACTATTGTTGCCACACTTGAGCCCATTGATGCTGCTACTTTGTCAATCCATCTCATCTCTGACCCTCCATCTTACCAAACATGATATCCTTCCCCAGCGACTGGTCCCTCCTGACACTATGTTCAAAGTATGAGAGACAAAGTTTGGCCATTTGGCCTCTAAGGAGCACTCTAGCTGCACTTCTTCTAACACAGATCTGTTGGTTCTTTTGGCAGTCCATGGCACTTTCAATGTTCTCCTCCAACACCATAACTCAAAAGCATCAATTCTTCTATGGTCTACCTGATTCACTGTCCAGCTTTCGCATGTATGTGAGGTTATTGAAAATACCATGGCTTGGGTCAGGCGCATCTTAGTCTTTAAGCTGACATCTTTGCTTTTCAACACTTTAAAAAGGTCTTGTGCAGCATATACATACAAATGGCTGAAACGGTCAATATTGTATTATATATATTTTTAGCAAAATTAAATTTTTTTTAAACAATTGATGTACGGTGCTTTGGGTTAATGTACTGGACTATAACATCGGTTTGAACAGCAAGGTCAGCGGTTCAAGCTCACTAGTCACTTCTCAGAAACCCTATTTGGGGTCATTATGAGTTGGAAACAACTCAATGGCACTTAAGAACAACATGTATCCACCACTCATCTGTCAGTTTGTCATACTGAATGGGAAGACTTTATATATAGGTTTGAAATTAGGAAAGGTATGTACCAGGGTTGTATCCTTTCACCGTATTTATTCAATCAATATACTGAGCAAATAATTGAAAAGCTGGATTCTATGAAGAAGAACATTGTATCAGGGTTGGAGGAGGCTCATTAACAACCTGCAATATGCAGATGATACAACCTTGCTTGCTGAAAGAGGAGAATTTAAAATACTTACTGATGAAGATCAAAGACCTCTGTTTGGTTTGGGTTGCAACTCAATGTAAAGAAATGAAAAATCCTCACCACCAGACCGATAAATAACATCAGGATAAATGGAGAAAAGATAGAAGTTGTCAAAGACTTCATTTTTCTGGAATCAACCATCAACACTCATTGAAGGAAACACCAGCCAAGAAATCAAACGACCTATTGCGTTAGGCAAATCTGCTGCACAAGAACTCTTTAAATTGTGTAAGAGATGTCAGTTTGAGGACTACAGTGCACCTGACCCAAGTCACGGTACTTTCAATAGCCTCATATGCATGTGAAAGTTAGACAATGAATGAAGAAGACTGTAGAAGAATTAATGCATTTGAGTTATGGTGTTGAAGGCAAGTACTAAAATTACCATGGACCACCAAAAGAACAAAAAAATCTGTGTTGGAAGAAATACAACCAGAATGCTGCTTAGAAGTCAGGACGGCCACACTTGGTGTCTCATACTTTGGACATAGTATCAGGAGGAACCGGTCCCTGGAGAAGTACATCCTACTTGGTAAAGTGGGGGGTCGGTAAAAAAGAGGAAGACCCCCCAACGAGATGGACTGACACAGTGGCAGCACGAATGGGCTCAATCGTAGCAATGATTGGGAGGTTGGCACAGGACCAGGCAGTGTTTCGTTCTGTTGTGCATGAGGTCTGTATGACTCGATGGCACCTAACCACAAATACGATTAGATGGATGGATGAGGGATGGATGGATGGGAAGGTAGGTGAATGGAGAGATGGGTAAATAGGTAGGTGGGTGGATAGGTGGAAGATCGTAGGTGGCTAGATGGATGAATTTGTTCAAGTGCATTAGAAGAGTTCAAATTCAGACTATTTATTCCAAGTTTCCATTACTTATTAGCTGAGATGTTTGGATAAACCCTTAACCCCGACCTAGCCTCAGTTTCTGCATCTGAAGAATGGAACTAGTAGGAACATCTCCCTCATGGTGACTGACTGACTGACCAATGAGGCGTGGTCAGCATACATACTTGTTAAGTGTCGTCGAGTCGATTCCGACCCATAGCGACCCTGTATAGGATTTCCAAGGAACAGCTGGTGAGCTTGAACCGCCGACCTTGCAGTTCAAACAGCTTTGCAATCTGGCGCATTAACACACAGCACCACACCAGCATACACACTAGTCAGTATTAAAACTAGTGTTGTTATCCGTGACTATTATGTGCAATGAAAGCAAGGAGAGAGGAAAAAGAAGGGCGGACTGGTTTCCTCTCCAGTCTTTGCCTTCCTATCCTGAGCTCGGGGCTAGGTTAAGTTTTGCCAAGGGAAGTTTTCATTGTAAAGTCAGGTCATTTCTGAGCAGGAAGGTGGCAGAGGCAAAGCAAGAGGGAGGAGGAGGCAGCAGAGTAGTGGGGAGCTAAGGGCATCTAGATGAGGCTTTCTGTGATGTGAATTTTCAATACCAACATGGTGAGGCTACAGTTCCCAGGGGTCTGGCCAAACACCACTCTAGTTGCTGTCATGTAGCTATATGGGATGAAATCAGCTGACCTTGGGGAGAGCAGATGACCTTCCAGATGTGATTAGGATGTAATGAGCTTCATTAGGTAAGGTAATGACCTTCCACAAGGTAACCTGATGCAATAGAATATAACGCCTTCCACAACACAACCTCATCTAATCTAATCAACCATGTGAGGTCAGCCTGCATAGGTTGGATCCTAAACAGGGACACTCTGAGCTATAAAAAGAGCAGAATACACACAGACACACACACACACAGGTGAAGACAGACCACATGTGAGGATTTTGTACAAGAAAAGGAACGTTGAGGGTCCCTGCCAGTCACCAGTAAGTAACGGGGAGAGAGGGTCACAGAAGGAACCGGCGTGGCCGAGACCCCGCTTTGGACTTTTACCCTCCAGAACTGTGAGAAAACAATTTTCTGTTCTTCAAGCCACCCATTATGGTGTTTCTGTGATAGCAATGCTTGAGAATGAAGACTCCTTCCCTCCCCCAATCCTTCCAATAGGCTCCACACAGCAAGGCAGGTGAGCAGGTTCCTGGGGGTCTTTTAAGCCCCAGTATTTGAGGGGAGGTGAGGCTGAGCAGGGCAGGGAGGCAGGAGGCTGGCTTAGCCTGGGCAAGGGGGTCTGCACTCACCCTCACAGATGCGGGTGTCCTCATTCAGGTTGTACCCAGGTGGGCATTCACATTGAAAGCTGCCGAAGGTGTTGACACAGTTGCCCCCCTGACACAGGCCTGGCAGGTCCTGGCACTCATTGATATCTATCGAGAGGTGAGGAAACCACGATCAGATGCTAAACTGGGGCTGAGGGCTCAGGGGACAGCTGCACTCTGCCCTGGACTCTTGAGGGTCCTGCAGGAGCCAGCCCTGCTCCTTCAAGGGTCCTAGAGGGCCAATTCACAGCTGCTGGGCCTCTGTGGGCTCGGGCCAGGGACTTTTTACCAAGCTGGACCCTGACTTTGTATGATCATTGTCACTGTAAATTGGTTCCTCACCCCCTCACCTTACAATAATCTATTACATAAATGCCTCTGGATAAAACGTTTTCTCCAACCTCATCATTTCCTATAGCTAGAAGGATGAATGGATGGATGGATGACTGTATAACCGAATGAATGAATGGATGGATGGATGGAAATGGAGACTAGTGTAAGATATATAATCCTTGTAGTAAATTCAATTTAAGGTCTTTGGAAAAAAGTAGTGGATGGGTGAGTAAATAAGTGAGTGATGGAGAAGACATGAGTGGATGGGTGAATGGGTAGGTGAATGGAGGAGTGGACATTAAAAGTCATGGATGAAGTGGATGATTCAACCAACAAGCAGAGAAAGAATAGACTAAAAATTTCCCCACAAATTTAGTGAGTGCATAATCTGATCCTGCTACCTGGCAGAAGGGTTTTAGTCCCCAAAAGCTGCTCAATTCTGCACTTGGGTGGTGTGGAGAGAAAGGTCACTAAGCGGGTGGACACATAGATGGCCTGCAAGAACTCACCCTCCAGGATGACAGTGATGGGGTTGGGCCGGAAGCCCTCGCCACCAGGGCACAGGGTTCTGTACTCAGCTGTAAGGGAAATTAGCTTTTGTGAGGGGCTACAGGGTGGAGCCTTTGACCAGAGCCCAAGAGAATCAGGGGAGGGGAGGGCCCCAAGAATGGGTGCCACACCCATCTACACACCCACTGTATCCTCGGCTTCCCCATTTGTCTCCCCAGCCCCTTGGGACCAGGAGGCCTTGCCCAGCCCTGGGATTCCGGCATCTGTGTGTGTGTCAATGTGCTCACAAACAACCAGTGAGCACATCAATCTTGTGGTGGTAGCTGAAAGTGGAAGAGAGAGGGCAATTCTCTCTGAGCCCAAACCAGACCCTCGTGTGACTCGTCTGTTTCAGCATAAAGGAAGATGGTGGATATTCACACGTGGGCACACCTGAACAGGTGGACAGGTGTCTCCTTGTTTCATACCTGAGGTCTTTGCATATGCTGTTCCCACTGTTCCACATATCCTACTACCTGGAAAACTCCTATTGATCCTTCAAAGCCCCCCTGCTTGTGTCCCTCTCTTTCCCCTGCCTTTCTCCTGGGTCATGGCTGCATTTCAAACAGACCCATAGGAGACTCCACCCTCAGTCCAGGGGACACTGGTTGTGGGTGAGCTGCAGCAGGAAGAGGCAGTGGCTGGCCCATGTGTCTCTGGGTTTCCAGCTCAGAGGAAGCTGTGGAGTGTTTGTGGACCGACTGAGTGAGTGAGGGGCACACAAACACAGAGAATCTGCAGAGAGACCTTGGAGACAGGCCAGATGACAACCTGAGAGGATGTGCTGTGTGCCCCAGGGAGAGCCCACTCTTCCCTTTTCAGTGTCCTTGTCACCAAAGCTCCCCACTCCCAACTTCCCCACAGGACTCACTGGTGTTGGCCAGAGGGCACAGCTCACAGGGGTTGCCCCAGGCCTGGCCCAGAGAGCAGCAACAGGAGGCTCGGGTGACACCAACCCCGATCTCAGCATCGCAGGAGAGGCCTCCGTCCCCTCGGCCATGTGTGTCCAGGAAGCAGTTCCCGACCCGAGGGTCTAAGTGGACAGACAGAGTGGTCAGCAAGGGTGGAGGGAACCAGGATTCGTGACTCTGTACATGTGACTGTGTAGGGGGCTGTATTTGTATGTGGCTATGTGTGTGTGTGGCACATGGGTGTTTCTGAACACAGGGACAAGGAAACTCCCGCAGGGCTCAGCCAAGGGTGATGTATGTATGTTTTAGGGGTGGCAGGGGCAAGCTTTCTGACTGTCGCCAGCAGATGTCAGTTGTCAAGAGAAGGAGTATTTGGACAGGCTGCCATCCTGACCAGCCCCACCTGACCCCAGGCCCTCGACCCAGAGCCAAGTGTGGACTCACCCACACAGCCCACCCCACTGGGGTTCAGCTCGAAGTCCGGGGGGCAGGTGCAGAGGTAGCTGCCGGGGGTGTTGATACATTGTCCATTGATGCAGTTCACAGGGTCCGCACACTCGTTGACATCTGGGGGAGGCATCATTCACTGGAACCCTCCCTCGGCCTACTTCTCTCCCCACTTGGTGAGAGCAAGTTCTCCTTCAGGAAGAAAGTCCAAGAGGACAGGGCCTTTCCAGCAGGTGCCCAACCCCGTTCCTCCACCCCTCACCCGGCCAGTTCCACACCCGTGTCCCTCATCCAGCCAGCCCACATCTGTGCCCTTCACTCAGATAGGCCAGCCCCTCACCCAGCCAACCTCACACTGATGCCCCTAATCACATGGCCAACCTCACACCTGTACCCCTCTCCTAGACAGCCCCATACCCAGCCAGCCCCACACCCGTGCCCCTCATCTAGCTAACCCCACACCTGTGCCCCTCACCCCTCACCCGCCAGCCCCACACCTGTGCAGTTGACACCTCCTCGGTCTAGCTCATAACCACCACCACAGACACAGCGGAACATTCCTGGTAGGTTCTCGCAGCTTCCCAACACACAGAGGTTCCCGAGAGCACACTCATCTGTGTCTGCAGGGACCCCAGGTCAGTCTGCTACCCCTGCCGCCTGCCCTGCCTGCCCAATCCTAGCCCGCCAGCCCCAGACCTCACCCTGGCAGGCCCGGTGGTCCTCGGTGGGGTGGAAGCCCATCTCACACTCGCAGCGGTACCCGCCGGGTACATTGAGGCACTGTCCACTCACACAGAGGTCCACGTTGTCTGCACACTCGTCCCTGTCTGAAGGGCCCGGGAGGTGGAGAGCTGTGACCATGCAGGGTGGGCAGGGCTCCTGGAAACCCTGCCATCACCCTGGTCCCAGGCGGCTTGGACACTTGGACTCCACTCTGGTGGGCAGACAGGGAGGTGGCCACACAGGGCAACTCTGGTCATTGTGATTACTGAGGAGTCACCTGTCCCTGTTCCCCACACCCAGAAGTTCTGACATTCAGTTCAGCATGGCGGGGGTGAGTCGAGAGGCATGCTGGCTACTGGTCACAGCAGAACTGGACTTAGGGTCATCCCTCAGGGCCTCCTTCCCCAGGTCTCACCCTCACAGGAGAAGCCGTCCCCAGTGAAGCCCTCGAGGCAAGCGCAGTGGTAGGAGCCGGGGGCATTGAGGCAGGTGGCGTGTGGGCTGCACTGATGCCCCCGGAAGGCGCACTCATCCAGGTCTGGGGGGGGCGGGGGCAGAAATCTCAGGGGGCTGCAAGGATACAGACCTCCCCACCCTGCCTGGGTCCTCAACACAGCTGCCATCCCCTCACAGCTCCACCCTCACTCCTGCCCCCCATCTACTGGGCTGGGCCCACAACCCCACTACCCCCCCACCTCCCCTGGCTCCACCCTCATTCCAGCTCCACCCACATACACCTTACCCCCACCACCTCCCTGGTTCCACCCTCATCCCAGCTCCGCCCACACACACCCTACTCCATCACCTCCCTGGCTCCACCCTCATCCCTGCCCCACCTCCTTGGCTCTGCCCGCCCCTGCCCCAGGGACTCACCTTGGCATTGGAATCCATCCCCCACCCAGCCTGGCTGGCACCTGCAGCTGAAACTCCCAGGGACATTGAGGCAGGAGGCATGACTGTCACAGCTGTGTGTCCCCAGCTCACACTCGTCCACATCTGAGGGGAGAGGGACCAGTCACACTCGTCCACATCTGAGGGGAGAGGGGCAGCACAAGTGCAGGGGTGGGAGGACACTTGGCACCCCCAGGACTCCGGGGTCTACAATAAACAAGGCTTTGGGTGGGGGTGGGAGGCTCAGAGCAAGGACAGAAAGATGAGTGAAGACCCCTACTAGGAGGGTGCTGACCTTGAGCACACCCCCTGCCCTGCAAGCCTGAGAGCTAAACCCCGACACTTAACAGGCATAACTACCAGAAGCCATCAGGAAATGGTCTGAAATGACACCATGAGAGACTCAGGATAAACAAAGAAAGAACCATCTGTCTCTAAGGTGCCCCCTCTAGAGTAGTGTTCCCAAATCCTGAGTCATCCTAATCACTCCCGCTATGTCTGAACACCATTTAAGTGTGCTACTATGTACTCTGGTAGCGTAGTGGTTACGAATCAGGCTGCGAACCTTAAGGTCA